CAGTATAAACACAAACATAGTTGAGCACACATATAAAAAATCATATGTGAGGATTTTTTATTGGGAAAATCCAGATCAATTTAACAATAACAAAAATAAAATAATATCGTTCATTGTAAATTTTCTTATAAATATTCTCCTAAAATTGCTTTTGTTGCTTCTTTTCCAAAATTCTTCTCATCACTAATCTCACACTTGGGTAAATAAATAAAAAAGCATAAATCGCAACCAGCAAATCTTTATTGATAATTGATTTTCACTTCTTTAAAATTAAAAAAATTACAAAAACATTGAATTTATTATATTCACAATAAGAACCTGAACTATTGCAAAAAACGTTTCAACATGATGATGATCTTTCTAAAAACGGATTTAATATATAAATCTAATAAATCTCTATGAAAATTTCAAAATCTATCTAGTCCACCAATCCTTCTCCTACAGTTATAAAAATAGTATCAAATAAAAGCTTGAAACTAGCTGTGCTATTATATTGTTAAGTATTCTTAGCTAAGATCGCCACAATCTACTAAGATACATATACATTATTAATAATATTTTTCGTATATAAATAACTCCCAACTTAATATAAACATATAACGAACTGCCATTACTTGAATTTTCAAGCTTTTAGTTGCCATAAATATTATTTTTCTTAAGAAATCAGGGTTGAGCGAAAAAGTGATTATTGATAAAAAAATAATTTAATGTATGATTATTTGGTGCGAAAGTTGTCGATAAGATGTTTGACTTGTACGTCAATTCAATATAAATTTTTGGGGTGTATTTGAACCCTTCAGGCTTTATATTCAACTCGTTGCTAGAAATAGTTGGCATTTTTATATAATTAATTTTAAAAAAAAAAAAATAACCATAACAAGCTAACAAATCAAATAAATCCCTAAACCCATTTGCTGGGTAAAGGCTATTTAGTATTAGTTGATTATTTTACACTATAAATGGAAAAAAAGTTTATTTTTTGCACAACATAAAATAGCCATGAAAATTTCAAATTCACAGTTCTCATTGTGATTCAAACATCTTTTTTTTTTTAATGCTAGGAATGACTTTATTTCTTATAAAAATTATATACATATTCTCTCTAATAACGCTATTATATCTACCTTCGATAGATTCAAGTTTTTTTAGTAGAAATGGCAAACATTCGCTGACTAATGGATTGACACCATTAAAAGATACTGGTTTACAAAATATTTCTGGAACAGTGGCAGCTTTCGGTGATTTTAACTCGGATAAATTGTAAAATATATTTTTTTCAAAAAGCATTAAAATAATGGATTTTTTTTTTGACAAAAGGATTTATTTTTTATAAATTTATAAATTTTATATTTAGTACTGATTTAGTTGTTTTAGATTTTAGTCAAACATCCATCAGTATATATTTATGGAACCATGGTTAGAAATAATAACTTTATTTATTTATTTCAATTTTTTCTCTTTAATTTTTATTTGATAATAATAATGATAATGATTGTAATTATATTGATGGTAGAATCATTCAACTTTACTAAGGCAAACTCGTCAGATATAGAAATATCAGATGATCAACCAAATAAATTTTTGATTACAAATGTAATACCGGGAGATTATAATTATGATGGAAATTTGGATCTATTGTTGATGGGACAAACCAATCCATCAAGTGTGTTTAGAAAAAATGAGCCATTGTATATGAGAGTGTATTTTGGATACGATAATGCTACATTCAGTTAGTAATTGATCTATTTTTTTCAAACCCTCTAAAAAATTTTATTATTTTATTTATTTTTTTCATTTTATTCTTTAGATTCTAAATACATTGAGCTTGATGCATCATATTCACAACATCCAATAACATTTGATTTTAATGGTGATATGAAAACTGATTTACTCGGACATTATTTATCATCTGCACAAGACAACAAATTATATGTATGGAAAAATGTATATAATGAATCTGCTGGAACATTATTTGAAATGTAAGAAATCTAAAATTGATATTTGTTATAATTATTTAGTTAGCTGGATTTTATTATTTGTTGTTGATGATATTGGTTTGAGATGACATTCATTCGTTATATCATAAAATTAAATCTGGATTAAAGAAAAATCGCCAAGAGTTTTTTCATTGATCCATTATTGATTTATTAGGAGAAAGTGTGTTTCTAATGAGAGGATTTTAATATTGACAATAATCAAACTAATCACAATAATAATATAATTCTATTTTTAAGAGTTCCACTGTCAACTAACAATAAAACAATGCCACAAAAAGGTTGTAGATTATCAGAACCACACTCGAATGCTTTTATAGATCTCAATGGTGATTGTTTTTCAGGTAAGTAGGCGGAAATTTATATTTGAATACATATGCCCTTAGGTATACATTAATGTATAATATCATTCATTGATTGGAACACTAGATTTGTTCTTGACATGCGAGGAAGAATTCAGAGAAACATCATACCAAATATGGGTTAATCAAAAAGATCAAGGATATGTACTTACTAGATATGGCGAATTACCTACAGATGCAGGACCCATTACATTTGCTGATATAGGTTGGTAATAATAATAATTACAATAGTGATTGATCTTTACAAATTATCTTTTTTAATTTTTGATTTATATATATATATATGTATTTATATAAATAATAGATGGAGATGGAGCAATAGATATGGTGTTTCCAGTTTGTAGAAGATCTGAATGCGCTATTCATATAGCTTACAATAAACAAAAACCTTTATGTACGAGTAAAGACCAAATAAATTGTCGAAAAATATCAAATTTATGTGAACCTGATGATGACTTTAGATTTAATTTAAACGATGATCCAGATAATGATGTAAACTATCTAGTACAACTTTTGTTTTTTATTATAATTCTTAATGAAATTTACATATATATATATATATATATATATGGAAAATAAAATTTAGGCATATATGGTTATAGACGTTAAAGATTTATTAGATGGTGGAACAATTGTTACCAAAGACCGATCATTCAATGGAATATTGCCCGTTCCGATCAGAATTGGTAGGTTTTTCTTCTTTACTATACTTTATTGTATCGATTAATTAATTTATAATAATTACATAAAAAATACATATATAGGTGATTACAATTTAGACGGTTTTCCTGATCTTCTTGTCATTAGTGAAAAAAACTCTGAAAGTTTGGTTTCACTTTTACAATCAACAGCATGTACACTTGAACTTTGTGATCCATTAGCAGTTAAAGCTCAAAGACGTACATTTTTTAAAGTGGTCGATGGGGCACATTCATTAAATAAAATTACAAATGCAAAAGGTGCTGCCTTCTTTGATATTGATGAAGATGTAATTACTATTATTTATCTCTCTTTTTTTTTGGCATAAGACGAGAATATTTATATATATGCTTTATTATAAGAAGATTTACCCATAATGATTTTAATTATATTTATATTATAGGGAACATTGGATATTGTGGTCCTTGGTAATTTAAATACCAACGATGCAGCAAGAGATGTTTACTTGTTAAATAACGATTACTTCAATGATGCATTCTTTTTGAAAACTTTAAGTATGTTTAACAACCAATAATATATAATTACTTATTTTTTTCTGTAATAATAATAATAACAATAAAGATGTGTTTTGTATCCTTGTATTTTGTAGTGTTAAACGGTGTATCACAAAAACAGGTATTGTATTTTACACGAATGTATTTCTTGTTTAATAAACAATATCTTCTTTAATAATAATTGTCATTGTGTTGATTTAATAGAACTATGGAGTAAATCATCCAGGTTCGGCATTTAAATTCACTGTTGTAGATACATATGGAAATAAAAGAGCAAATCAAGGTATTATTTTCTTTATTTAATGTTAAAATTAAATATTTGAACGGCTTAAAAGTTAAATGAACAAAAAAATGAAATTTTAAATAGTTGCACAGTATTCTCAAGTTGGATATCTTTATTTACAAACACCATACTCGCTCTTTGGACTTGGCCGTACAAATAATTATGTCGAGGAATTGTTTGTGGGTACTACACGTAATCAGGTATTAATATTAATACATAAATTTAATTTTAAAACGAAATTATATATAATTTTACTAATTTTTACAAAAATTTTTTTTGAATGAATTGTTGTTTAATTTATAATAATAAATAATAATAAAATAATAATAATAGACTTATCATTACACTTCATTTTCTGGGGTAATTCCAAATTCTCAACTTATTATTGTACCATATCAACCTGATGATATACATGACGCTTACACGTATGTTTATTATAAGCCAATGTTAATTAGTGATGAAATTTATATAATATTTATAATATTTATACATACATACAATTATAAACAGGTGGTTATTGGAATTATATATTCATCCCGGTGATTGGATTCCATGGGTATTAATTACATTAGTTATAGCTACCGTAATTTTAGCAATTATTGTTGCAGCATTACATTGGATGGAAAAGGTAAACAAATAATAGTTTGATTTTATAAAATTATTGATTATTAATTAATTTTTCTTTTACTGTTGTTCATTTAATATTTATAGAGAGAAGACGAATTAGAAAAGAAAAAAGCGTCACATGTTATAAATTTTGACGCATTATAAAAAAATATTTAATAAAAAAAAAATTAATATTTTCAGTATATGAATAAAAAAGTATTTATTATTATTTTGAAAAACATCACTATGACTTCCTCAAATTTTCCATCTTCAACAGCTTGTTTTTTACATGCTCTAGGTCAATTACCACATTTCATCAGTTAATATTTCTCTGATCTAGCAAAAGTTACTCGTCACATATTCCAAATCAGGAATCTTTGGAGTTTGAAATTCGTCGAAATAAGGTTTATCTTCAGATGACAAAATATTCATAAAAAAGAATTGAGATGTTGGTGTTGTGACCCAACATTATTAGCAAATGATTATGCGAAACTGGTTCTTTTGTATGTGGTTTATATGATATGCTTCAGGTGTCAAATATGGAATAACGACAAGGTTCAATGATAATATCTATACAGACTCCTTTGCTTGCTAAATAAATGGCTCTTTACGTTCGGTAATAAATATCCTGTTCTGCCACTTGGCATATTATCTAATTTTTATGAGGCAAAGTAATTATTTTTCACAATAAGTTGATAATGAATTAAATAAATAACTCGCAACTATTTGACCAATTAACCGATTATTTTACCCATAAAAAAATATAATAACCAATCTTATAGAATTTTTAAATACTAATACATTAAATACATTCTGATCAATCATTATTTTATTAAAAATTGATATAACTAATACATGAAAAAGATCTAGATGTAATAAAAGTACATGAATAGATCGATTGTAAAAATGCATTGTCTACCAATTGCTACCTTAAAGAAAATGCAAGATGCCAAATTAAATCATGTGGATGTGTAAATAAAGTTATAAAATATATTTAATTTCAAATTTAAAAATTATTAAAAAAACAATTAAACCAACTAGGGTGAAAGTGATTTACATAGTTTTTTTGCATTAGATTCATAAACACTAAGAATTGATCCATTAACTTTGACCCAAGATTCAAGCCTTGATCTGGCTTGTTTCAAGTAATCTTCACAAGGAAATTGCTTGATCACTGTTACATCACATGTTGAAAGCATGTGAACCCTATAATTTGAATCATAATAAGCATGTCTTAAGTTAATAATAGTCAATATGTTCTTGGGTATTAATAAATTATCTAAATCAATAAAAAACGATTTATTGAATTCGATAAACACAAACTGTCCACTGATATCTGTGGCAATAGCAGTTTGTATTTCAATAGTGATACCATATCGTATCTTCTCTACAATTTCTCCGACCGCCAACACAACCACCACAATGTCATGCTCTTCTTGACATTGATGAACTAGACCCGTTCTTATTGTCATTGCCATTGCTCTTATCCTGTACGCTTCGTCATAAATCGTAACAGCCCGTGGTCTATATAACGAATTCCTAATTTCATTTAAATCTGCCTTTTGTTTTCTCCATATTGTTGTATGTCCTATTGATGTCAGATGTATCAAAGAAATTGTTGATGATAAATTTGGATCATATGATTGATTATTGGCTACCATCAACGAATGTATCTGATATCTTTGTCCCTCATGAATAGAATCATATAAAGAGCTAGCAGGATTCCATATAGTGATCAATGCTTCTCTGTTAACTTTTGATTGAGCCTTTCTAATAGCTTTAGATTGACTGTGATAATCACATACACGTACTTTAAAGAATGGAATAACAGAACGAACGCTTTTCAAATCTACTGATTCCAATTGCTCATTAAGCCACTTATTCCTTTCATTTAAATTACTCATCTCTTTTCTATTCAACCAATCATTCAACCATCTACTCTGATCAAAACTCAAGTATTCAATGATTCGATTAGAATACTCGCTATTATTCTGCAATAAATTATATAATTCTTCTGCAGATGTAAGATTTTGTACTAATTGTTTGGTAATTACTTGTTTCTGTTGTTTGAATTTGGCATTGCTTGCTGAAGTATTATTGTCATCATTTATTTCTAATTTATTAGAATCTTGTTGTGGCGATCTCCGATCATAGTCTTGCAGTAAGGATTGTATCTTTCCCTGTATCTTTTCTGCGAAATTTCTACGAGCCAACTCTTCACCTTTTTCATTGCGTATGATATATATTCCATCTTTAGTTGTTTCACGGTACATCAAAGGATATTTTCGCATTATTATAACATCAATTGCAAAAATAAATCCACCATCTGGAGTAAGGCTGTTTAATGAAGCAAATGGTCTAAACTTTCTGAATCCGAGCTTGGAGTCCCAATGGGCAAGTTTCGTCGAGTTTCCTGATAATTTCAAGCATATGGAGTTTGTTTCATCTAAAGCTGAAGTTTTGCCAACAGATTTTCCATAAACCTTTGCACCACAAATTTCAAGCTTGTAACCCATTTTTATTTTAGATTTCATTATAGCTCGTTGTAATGGTGGATCAATACATGCATTTATTTTATACCAACCATCAGTCAATTCCAATGAAAGTTTTGAACCATCAATATATTTTCTATCAGATGATGATGAATTTGGCATATAAGAGAAAGGTGGAGATACAGGAGAAAATGGTGGTGTTGGTGACATTGAAAAAGAAGAAGATAATGGCGGTGGTGTTAACGGAGTGGTCTTATCATCAATTATGTCTGATACACACAGAACCATAGGCCACGCTGGTGAAGCATTCCCTTCTATAATTGATTTAAGAGCAGATCCTTGTGTACGATTTATTTCTCTTTCATATCTGTATCTTAATTGGTCAAGTACTGTATCAGATGATAACCAACAATGAAATAAATTAGGGTATGATCTAATCATGCTGCTTATTTTCCATACAATCCATTTGTAATGATTCAATACCCACTGTTGATCTATCAGGTTAGGATTGGCACCACATTTAATTAAACATGACAGAGCTTCATTTGGACCCCACGTTGCTTTTTGTTGTTGTTGGCAGTTTGATTTTAAAAAAAGTTTTGGCCAAGTGAAATTGTAAAGAGTGGCATTCGATGGGTTGATGTATAAGACATCCGGTGTTATTTCAAAATTTAATAAATCTTGTTCATTAAATGTTAAGGGATGATGATACACCATGTTTCCAATGGTGTTTCTAGGTACAGACGATGATAAAACAAACAATTTATTGTTATCATTGTTATCATTAATTGGTTGAGAGACTGTCACTTGTGATGACGTAGACAATGATTTTATATTCTTGTTTTTGTTTTTGTTTTTGCTTTTGTTTTTGTTTTTGCTAGGTTGTGGTATTGAATTATTAAAATTTTGTGATGAATGCAATGACCTGAGTGGAGTTCTTAATTTCAGATTAGGTTGATGAGATCTGATTGGTGGTTTTTTGTAGTTGTTTGAATTATGCTTGGAACCAGAATTTGAATGCTGATTTTTTCTTGATTTCTTTGTAGTAGTTGATGTTTCAATTAATGAGCTGTTGTTATGGTATTTGTTGTTTTTGTTATTGTCAATGTTACTATTACTATTAATGCTTTTTAAAGGGGTTCTGACTTTTATCATATCATTTTCTTTTGAAGGTTTAATGCTTGAAGAAGAATGTTCAGAAACCTTCATTGATTCTTTTGATATAGATTTAATTTTTCTTTTGAATCCAGTAGAAAATCCAGAAGTAGTATTTAATATATTATCGGAAGAAGGAGGAGAAGAAGTGTGTTTAGAATCGCCTAAACACTTGTAGGCTCTTTCCTTTGATTCTTTAGATATGGGAGCAATTTTTTTCCCAGAACCCGTGGTAAATCCAGAGATTTCTGAAGAATTGTTTGATGTATTATTGAAAGGAAGAGAGGTAGAATGTTCAGAAACATCAAAACACTTGTAGGGGTTTTCCAATGGTTCATTAAATGTAGGAGTAATTATTTCCTTGAATCCTGTGGATAATCTCGAAAATTCCACATTAATACTACTACCACTATTATTGTTGTTACCATTGTAAAAGTTTCCACCACCATCATTATTATCATTAGACGGTCTTGATGATGTAGTTTCATCAAAGTTATTAATACAATTGTTATTATTGCTACTATAATTCATGAATAGAATATCATTATTACCATCTTCAACAACATCTTGTAAGGAAGATAATTTTCTAGTTTTTGTCCAAGTATTCATTGAAACTTCAGGAAGTTTATGTTTGCTGGTCAGCATAAATTCAGGATCATCATTATTAGCATCATAGTTATTGTTGTTATTTTTAATAATAATGTTGTTAGAATTGCCATAATTGTTATTGTTATTGTTTAACATATGATCATAATCAAAATTATTATTTTCTATGTAATAATTATTATTGCCATTTAATAAAGGTGTTGTTAGTGTTTGATTGATGTTGTTGTTGTTGTCAATATTTATAAAATTTTGTAAATCCCCTCTCATACTAATACAATGATCAATATCTATGTTAGGATTATATTTGATGTAGTTGATGTTCGTATTATTATTAATTTTACGAAAAGGTGTTGGGCTTTCATTGAAAATATGATTATTGGTGTAGTTATCATCATCATCATTATAACAGTGATCGTTATAATAATAATGATTAGATTCTATTAGATCAGATTGTGACGATACTAAAGATGTTAGTTGTATATATTCCTTATTATTGGCTTATTAATTCAACAAAAAAAATGAAATATTTATTTGAGATACTTTTCCTTGATCTATACAATTATATGTATATTGCTTACCATCAACAATTAAAGATCTTTCATGGTCAAGGTTATTGTTATAATTGTTGTACCTATTATCATTTACAGTTGAAATAGTAGCAGTAGTAGCAGTAGTAGCAGTGTTGACAGTAGTAGCAGTGTTAACAGTAGTAGCGGTGTTGACAGTAGCAGTGTTGACAGTAGTAGCAGTGTTAACAGTAGTAGCAGTGTTGACAGTAGCAGTGTTGACAGTAGTAGCAGTAGTATTTGAACCTGGAAAAGATTTAACAGGCGTGGGAAGAATATTAAAAGTAGTGGGAATATTTGACATTATTTCAGTATGTTGTTGTTGTGTTATTTATTATCAATATTATTAATATCACACACTATTTATCAAGTAGAATTAACTTATAAGCAAATAACTATTTTGAAAATAAAACGCGTCAGGGGAAGGAAATAATTATTAAACAGGGCCCCTGAATAGACCACACTTGTGTATTTTCTGTTACGCGTCAATTTAACATTTTGGAATTAAAGGAATTAAAGATAATGAATTAATTAATATTTTGTCAATCAGTAAACTTGTTACAATAAAGTACATATTATATATAATTCATATAAATTGTAGCAAGTTATATCACCATACTTAAAAATTATACTTTTTTTCTTTTAATTTTCTTTTGAAATAAAAGTATGAACAACAATATTATTGAAATTTCCAATATCGAAAATTTTCAAAACAATCTAAAAGGTACATAATTTTCATTATATAATAATTGATTTTTATTTTTTATTTATTATATTAAAATATTTTTTATAATGTTAAATAATAGATTGTTGGGTCTATATTAATAACAATGATGATAAAATCAAAAAAATCATAGAAAATTATAAAGATGATAAAAATAATAATGAAAATAACAATGATGATTGTAATTATGATTATGACAGTTATATTGAAGATGATTGTTACGCTGGTGACATTAGCGATGAAGATAATAATAGTGAAACTGGTGATAAAAATATTGATGACAATGACGATCTGATGATGTTACTACTGCTTTTACTTTCACTTATACACTTACCATCACTACTGATAATAATATTGATATTAACAATAATTACACTAGTCATAGTATCATAGATTAAAGTAGCAAAAGATTTGTTTGCACGTCTCCAGGATGTACAAAAAAGTATTTAGTTAAAAATCATGTTATTATTACCATATAAATTTCATACTGCTCCCTCTAAACGCTAGATATTATTATGAATCACGTTCAATTTGTGTCACCTTGTCCCTTTATTTGAAAAGAAGCAGACTAAAACCATCAAACAACACATTTATGAAAATATACACGCTTAAATTTATAATTATTTAGCAAACTTATTTCTTAATCATGAGATATATAGCATTTATTAAATAATTAACAAAATGTTATTATAAATAGCAAATGGTGATAATGATTAATCAGTTTTAATTGCAGAAACTTCATGTAAATAAGCACCAAGCAATTTGATTCCTTGGATATAGTTAGATAAATCGAGTTTTTCATTAGTAGAATGAGCTCCCTATATTATTCAATGAATGAGTGAATGAACGAATTAATTAATCAATCAGCAGATATCAAACAACCCCGTCAATCAAGAAATATTCAAGTTGAATGTTATTTGAAAACACAAAATATAAAATATAAAATATAATATGGACTTACATCATCGCCTCTACCCATTGGAAGTAAAAGAACATTTTTTCCTAATAAATCTTGAAAAGTCAAAGTTACTGGGATAGATCCACCTTCACGTGTAAAGTCTGGTTTACAATTATAAACTGATTCAACAGCCTTTGATGCAGCAACTAAAAAAAACCAAAAATTTAATAATAATAATAACAATTATCAATAATAAAAGCTCATATTTTACCAAAATTCCAATGATTTGGACTTGCTACCCATGCTTTTGCACCATGTAAGGTCTCTAATTTAAATTGATTTTTAGTTCCAAGTTTTTCAAATTCCTTTCTTAAATAATCTTCTGCTAAATTTTTAACTCGCTCAGGATCCATGTCTGGTACTAATCTAATTGAAAACTTTCCTCTGACACTGCAAGGTATGACTGTTTTAGCGCCTGATGCAGAAAATGCACCTTCAATACCATGTAAAGAAAGCGATGGATAACGCCATCTATAATGATAATTAACGATGATAAAATTTTTAACAGTAGTAATAATAGTAGTAATGATGATGACGATTATGATGACAATATTAATAACCTATTCATTAAGGTTGGCTCTTTATCTTCAAAAAGACTAGTTTTGGATCCAATAGCTGAATGCAATTCATGAATACCAAAATCAATCGATTTATAAGTTTCCTTTTCTTCATCTATAAATATATATATATTAAAATTTATAATTGCAAAAATAATACACGAATTTTTTCTTCCCTCAATAATTAATTACAGAATTTACCAGTTAATACTGCAACGTCGTCTAAAATTCCAGGTATTAGAATTTCGCCGTTTGGTTTTACCAATTTACTTAAAAGGTAAACCAAATCCGTCATTGGTTCATAAACAGTTCCTCCGAAAACACCAGAATGAAGATCTCTACCAGGCCCACTTACAATAAGCTCAAAATAACAAATTCCCTATGAATATATTTAAAAGTAATAAATATTTATTTATCCAAATTCGTTCGAATTTATTTGAATCTTTTAATTTCTTTCAAAATATAAATATATAATATGTGATATTTACTCGAAGTCCATATGTAAGACATGGTTTAGTTACGCCAAGCCAATAATTATCAGAGATGCAAACTGCATCCACATCTTTAAAATATCTTTTTGCTTCTTTAGCAATCAATTCGTCTAAATTTTCTGATCCACTCTCCTCCATTCCTTTATTAATTTAAAAGAATAATGAATTGAATATATATTGTCAAGCAAAGAATAAAAACAACAATTGAATAAAGAAATCACCTTCAAAACAAATTTTCAAATTCACTGGAAATTCAATTCCTGCTTTTTGATGAGCTTCAATGGCATTTAACCATCCAATGATTGGTCCTTTATCATCCGAAGAGCCTCTTCCTACCATACGACCATCAGAATCAGTAGTAAGTTTCCAAGGATCTGAATCCCAACCATCTTCAATCAACGCCTTAATTATATTAAACATAGATGATATATATAGTGACATATATGTATATGACAAATTTTATCAAAAAAATAATATACATAATATATAATATTCTTACAGGTTGAACGTCATAATGCCCATAAACAAGGATAGTCTTTTTCTTTGGATCATTTCCATAAGTACCCAATAAAATAGGTGGTAACTTTAAAGTCTTTCCTGCCATTTGATGAGTACCAATATCAGTAATTTCGTAACTATTTTAACGTGAACATGAACATTAACAATATAATTTATTTGAACAATTGGAGTTTTTTTTTTTTGAAATTAATTATTAACCTAACACCCAGTTTTTGAAATAATTTAACAAGCCATTCGCTCATTTTAAATACATCATCTCGGTATTGACCATCACCACTTACGCTGTTTATTCATAATTAAAAATAATTAAAAAATTAAATTAAATTAAATTAATATTATAATTGCTTTATTCTAATTCTTGTATTTTTTACCTTGGAATTGCAACTGCTTCTTTTAACCTTTCAACATAAACATCTTTGGATTGGTCTACACTGTCGAAAAATTTTTTTAAGACTTCTTTATCACACATTATTATTATTATTATTTTGAAAGCTTGGAAGTATTATGTGTTAATGGACCTTGATCATCGTCATCTATAAAACTTTAAATTTTATTAAATGGTCACGAGAGATAAATTTGCAAATCACGTCGTATTAGGAAAATAACATGCGATCGTGGCAAAAAATATCTGTTGTTATTATTATTAATATATCCATTTACAAATAATATAATAATAATAATAATAATAGCATAGCATAGTAATATTTGAAACAATTTTAATATTAGAAGTCGCTGGTTTTTAAAATGAACATACATATTTCTTATAACAAAAACAATAAAATAAATAATAATAAGAATATTTGAAACAATTTTTAATTTTAATTTTACAAATCCATTACACATTCTAATAATAATTACAGTAATCCATTATTAAACATAATAATTCAATCCCATTATCATCATTAATAATACCATTCACGTCTTAATATCTAAACCCATCACCATCACCACAACAATCTGCTCCTTATCTTCACCCACACACTATCATTATCTTCCTCATCTATATTCACTGCTTAATGTAGCATTAAAATGGTGTGTGTGATAATGAAAAAAATTCCCAATACTTACTATTTTAGTCAAAAAAATATTTTGGTTCTTTTCTCTGATGCGGGACAACAAATTAATTTGTTACTAAATAAAATTAGCTCTAGTGTAGTCTGACAAAATGTTACCAAAGTTGCAAACCTATTACGTCAAATTCGCTGCCATTAAGTCAAAAATGACGCTTTAATGGCTGATAAATATGAAAGCCCACTAAAAAACTTGTAATATATATTTTTTGTTGAATATAAATCCCAGTTCCCCACACACTCATTTACTAAACTTGAACATTTCTTACATTAATATTAATAGCGTGATACATGATCGGGATAGATAAAATCATTGATTAGGGGATTCGGCACTTTATGTTTAATTTTATTTTACGCATGCAAACTCGATAAGTCGGACGCAGTAATCAATTGTTTAAAATATAAATAAATGACCAACCTATCGAGTTTACATGTGCATTATCAAATTGCCATGTAAATAATCATGAAAGTTTTTATAACATCAATATTGATTGATTAAGTTACTTTGCAATAATAAACTCATCTTCCTTATTGTAGTGAATCAATGAAGGATAACTTCGGGTTCTCGCAAAGGAAAAAGCAGAGAAAAGTAATAGATGATTAACATTCTAATAAAATAAAACTGTAATAGAATCATAATTAATTGTTAATAAAAATAAAAAAATTGTCTTTATTTTCTTTGTTTGATAAAGCAACAGTGTAGTTAAAAAGGTAACAGTTGTGAAGCTTTGGTAAAAAGCACATTTATTTACTTTAGTAAGCAAGGTTAGGACTAACATTGGTTATTAGTGAGTGTTAGTAACTTAATTTGCTAAGCAAAGGTTTGGACTAATGTTGGTCAACTAGTGGATGTTAATAAAGTATCATCCAAAGGTTAATCGGAAATACTGATAGTATTATTGTAATTGTAAACGTGAGGCTCTTAAATAAGCTGCTTAAGTTGATTTACAATAAACCAAAGCGAGATTGCAATTGGCCAATAAATGTAAATCAATCACAAGTGAATAAAAGGAAATTTATAGAAGCCCTTGAGTTTTGTAAAAAGGCCATATTTATTTATTAAGTTCTCACAAATTTGTCAAGGTGGAAGAAAGGGGCAGTAATTGAGAACTAAAGTAAATTTGTAAACTAATTAATTGACAAGCACTAAGTTATTTGCAATTGACTAACAAGAGTAACCTAAAAGTTGAACCATGATTGTTAATTAACCAAAATGATGCCTTTAATGACAAGAATCAAAAAAGTTTATTATTTTAAAACATTATTATAATTTAGTTTTAAGAAACGAAATAAGGATAAAATATAAAAAATAAATAATTATAATGAATAATTTTATAGTGGAGATTAAATTGGTCATCCATCAATTCTTTGTTTACTATTATTACTAGAGTCTAATACTCATTAGTTAATTAATTGATATTTTAGTAATTTCCAATTAATTGATAATAATGAACTTTTATTTACCTTTGTTGACATTTTAGAGGAAAGAGTTAAAATCAAGAGTATTTAATGAGCTATCAATACTTGTGTAACCTTTTAAGCTTTTAGATTTAGCAATCTCTTCATCTAATATTCTACTTTTATGATATGCATCTGGATGTGCTTGTTGCAAGGCACTACTACCACCACTACTAGTAATATTATTACCATTATTATTTTTAATAATTTCGTTATGTTTATTTCCAGAAAAATCAAGCAGCTCTTCACTAGTTGGTCTTTTTGATGGATCCACATCCCAACACCTCTGCATCATTTGCACATAATCGTCAGGCATTTCAGGTAATATTGGTGGTCGTAAACCTTCTTCACATATATCAAAAATCAACTGATGATTGTGAGCTTTATCATCAAATGGTGGATGACCTGCAAATATTTCCCACATTAACATCCCAACACTATAGATGTCCGATTCTTTTGTATTTGTTTTGCCTCTAAGTAGCTCAGGTGCAGTGTATGATATAATTCCATAGATTTTATTTGATGACTTTTTGTCAACTGGCCCACATAATCCTAAATCTGTAATATAACAACCACCTCCATTCACAAGTATATTACCACTATGTAAATCACAATGGATTAAATCTTTCTGATGTATATCATATAATGCAATACATAAATAATCAAAAATTGTAATTCTGTCTTTTAATGTTAAATTTAAATGATTTTTTTTCAAATGACCCCTTAAACTTCCTTCTGGAGCATAATCTAAAACAATTCCATAATTCCCATTACCTGGGAATTTAGTTATACCAAAGCAAGTAACAATTGAATTTGATTTAATTTTACAATAATTCATTGCCTATTGAATATAAAATTAATTAGTAATATATAATAAAGTATTGTTTATAAATGATAATTACCAACCTCATCAAAAAAGGCTTTTCCTGGATTACTTGAATCATTTAAACTTTTTAATACTACAATTTGCCTTCTACAATAGTTAAATTCCTTTTTATTTTCATCATAATCAACAATACTTCCTCTTGTCCATTCCGCAGTATAAATTGAACTAAATCCACCTTCTGTCAACTTTGTTATATCTTCAAATTGCTCAAAAGGT